CAAACTGGATAGTCTGGATGGAAAGATGCGCGCGAAAGCGCAACCTTCGTGCGTGCTCACAGTCGTGTCGCGGAAAGATGGCGTCTACCATTGAAATGGCCGCAGTAACGCGCTGATAAAACATAAGGCATGACGACCGTATCTGAAAAGGAGCGTCGGGTGCAGAGGGCCCAGAAAAGAGGGAGCAGGATAGAGGACGAAGTTAGATATCATCCCTAGTTACGGCTGGTGACGAGGGGCGGAGTCATGCCAACCGCACACCTGCCCCGAGGTGAACTGCCCTTGGTCACCCCCGGGGTTCCCCCCCCCCTCCTCATTTCCACCCTCTCTGGAGGCTACATCTTGATGGACGCGTTTACGCTAACCGGTCGACGGGAAAAGGGCGAAAAAGAAATGGCCGTTTGGTTGGCTTTTAATGGTCGCCTCGATTCCTGTAATCGCCGTCTTGAAAACGCTAACTGGATCTTGCAGAATCCGAAGCTTCATCATGGAAGCACGCGGAGAACCGGTTGTTATCTATGAGAAATATATTCACGATAGCGGTCCATCCCTTGGAGGATGTTAACCGCAATGCGCGGTCATTCGGTTTGACGAATAAGTCGTCCGGATCGAAAAAAATATCAGCCTTTACGCCGTAGATCGACGAAATATGCAAGATATGCAAATCGCGATCCTTCACAAATTTGTATTTCCGATTGAACGCAATAGTAATATTTCATACAACTGAGAACTGTCGTGATAGTCGATACGTGTGTTAATTCGAGACGAAGGTTACAATTATCTCGCAGAAGTCGAAGTGTAATGCAGTTTACATCAATGGAAATGTGTTGCGCATATCGGCGATAATACTTTTACGACTTGCATTAATCAAAGTGCTTTACGACATTAAATCAACACTTCGTATATACATTAGGTTAGTATGGCTTGAGACATTGTACGGTTGGCGCTTAATGATAATATATACGCATCGTTACGTGTTTGTATTTAAATTTACTTTACATTTGCTCGATCAGTACACTCATATTTCTTCAAACCAGTTAACAGTCATTTTATGGGACAATCTTCATTAATGTTTCTGTTAACTGAAATTTTATTCATTTACGCATTATTAATAAGTATCGTTAATCATCTACATTTCTCTTTTGCTCGTTTTTAAAAGTTAATTAAAAATATAGTATAAACGATATTAAATTAAAACGATATTTAATTAATCTTTTTAGTTGGTCTTAGTTGTCTTCTTATAGTTCTTTAACCCGGGAATAGTTATCCGTTTCTTTTTATGTAAACGATTACCCGAGATGTTTTCACACCTCAATTAAAATAACTATTATTAATAACATATTGTATTATTGATTGTTTTCCGGTTTATTAGTATTTAACAACATTATGGATATGGATTTAATATTTTAATCACAATTTTTTGGAAAAAAAAACAAATGTTAAACAAAATAAGCACGTTAAGTAGTTTATTGTGATATAATATTTAAAAAAATAAAAATTTTAATCAATATGACGCGTTTTTATTGTGGTTTTTTGATGGAATATTTAAAGGTTCATAAAGAATAGTTATTTAAAAAAAAGAAAATATGTTAAACAATGTCTATATAAAACAATATTTTGCAATTCATACTTTATCACCGCTTGGGTAAAAACAAGTGATTATTTCCAGATTAATAGATGGTTCGCATTTTCTGTATAACAATCAAAATCTAAATGTTTATAGTAACAAGGTAAGTACTGTTGAATTGGTAAAGGAAGTTGCATCACCTACGTTGAGAATGCCTTTGGGATGCGGCCCGCAAAGAGATCGGAAGTGACAATGTCAAAAGTATTTCTTCTGATAAAGATTTGCTTTCGAAGTAACGAGAGCATAGTTTTTTTTCTGAAACGCAACGAGGATAGATAGGCATCTTTTGTAAGGATCAGAAATGATAAACTTTTTAATCACTTTTATAGTCAATGTATTGTACAATCAGTAATGAGTTTTTCACAAAACGGTGAATAGTATTACAAGATGGAAATGGCGTAGGATAGAACACGAGGCGCGGCCCGATTAGCAATCACCATGGAAACAAGCACTTGATGCGATCAGTTATGGAGAGGAGAGGAGGATGCGCGCGATGCCGCTCATATGTATGCGTATCAACGCACACCTATGCACATTTGCATGTATATTTATATATTTCCGGCAAATGCACAGAGCTCGTCTATATTCTGCTGTCGGTGCTAGATATGGCAAGAAATGTAAACATTTTTTTTCGATTTCTCTGAAACGGAGCAAAAACGAGCATATGTCTATAGGACTTTTTTTCTTAGTTTTTTACTCCTCTACACGCTCCCGAAGTTTTGCCATTTAATTTGGAAACACCCTGTATATATATTTACATATGTAGCTGTCGTATATTTAAAGCGGTTGACGATGGCGATAGCGATGGTTGGTGGCGGTGATGATACCAGAGGTAGCGGCTGTACGAGAGATAGATTGGGAGAATCGCTCGGCACGGAACGAGGAGGGATCAGCAAGGGGGAGGGGGGAGGAGGGACGTAGGAGAAAGAGTAACGAGGAGAGTGGAACCGTTGATGCTGTGAGCCAAGAAAAGAGACGGAAAACAGGCTCAGTACATGGATGGAGGAAACAGAGAGATAGAGATGGAGCGGAGGAGTGGCAGAGAGGCGGAATCGGGAGAAACCAGCGGCACCAGCAGTTGCCGCTCTCGGGGCGGCTGGCTGTTATCATGAGAAACAAGCTTCCACTCTGATTTTTTAATCCGATCCGCGCCCCCTGCCACCGGCTGAATTTTAAAATAACTGCAGAACGCCATTTGCTCCTCGCAAACAGACTGGGGTTAAGCCATCCCCCCGCCGTCACCGCCGCCGCCGTCGTCCTGCCGTCTCCTCTCGGTGCTCTTGGCTCTTTTCTGTCTTCCTCGCACTTTTCCTGTCCCCGTTCTATCGATGTTGGTCCATCTCGTGCATCCTCCGCCTCCCTTCGACTCGCCCAAACCACCCTTCGCCTCTGTTCTCTCGACGAGCGGAGGCAGTACGCGCGTCTCCGACCCTCCGCGTCTGCGACCTGGCGTCGAGCGGATAGGACGAGGAGTAACACTGCGGAAGGATAGGATAGGTCGAAAGACGAGACAGAGAGATGTATATCAAGGCGCGCGCGCGTGGCATGAAAGCGCCTGATGCCAAATTGAAATGTTTAGCGCTTCGTTTCAGCTGCTTCAAATCCCGCATGCGGGGCGCTCCGGAATCGGAGCGAGACAAATAGAAGCAGGAAAAGTGCGATAGGTAGATAACGTGAGGCAGAGCGAAAAGAGATGGGGAAGTGGCGAACGGGGGTGGAGGGTGACAACGAAGATAGAGGAGCGAGAAATGCCGTGTGTAGGCCTGCCTTCGAGAGAAGGGTAGATAAGTGACAGTTTTATTAATTTCCCATCTCCTGCCGCCACTTCCACGCTTACCACCCCTATATCTAACTTACCCAACGCCACGCAACACCAGGGACGTCAGTCGCGCGTCCATACACGCCTTCCCACCCTCGCCCCGTCGTCGGATACGTCTCGGGGTGTGCGAAAGCGAAAATAAAGCTCAATAATGGCGACGCGCCGTGACGGGGCCACCGTCGGAGAAGGTGGCGGAGATGCCGGTTGGGGATTTGAATCAACGATATCTCGTCGTTCAGCGGTATTTTTATGAGGGAAATTTTTCACGCCCGGGATTTGTATAGGCCTTCATTTTTTTCGCAACCGTTTGTACGCTGAAAATATTTCGGGCGTAAGATGTGAATTAATTCGTAGTTTTTATAATGGAACTTTTTTTATGTATTGTAATTCTCAATAAAGCTATGACTCATTTACATTTACGACAGAGTTCAGTAATTGGTTACAGTTGTTAATAACGTATACGAATAAGAAAACGTTTCCGATTAGATCAGCGATTTCGTATAAATCTCTCGAGACACACGAAGCTTTGGATCGTGACATCTCGGCCAGATCGTACACGCGAGGAAAAAAAACTGCGAAAGAAGACGAGAGAGACGAACAGAATAAAATAAAATAAAATTCCAGAAGAAGCAGAGAAAGAAAGAGGGAATGAAAGAAAAAAGCGGAGAGAAAGTCCACCGTGAGTCCTAGCCGGTCGCTCTGGTGGTGGAAAATTTAATTTCGATCCCGTCGATTCAGCAGTTATACCGAAGTTTAATCTTTGATAAGGGTTAGTCTTTTAGTAATGGGATCCCAGAGGGTCGGTCGCTCCAGTCCGACAGAGTGAGGTGGAAGGTAAGAAGGAGGTTGCTTGCTCTCCTCTTCTTTCTCTCCCTTGCCCCGCTGATCTCTTTTCTCTGGCCAGAATGGAAGGAAAGAGCTTAAACCGTTAGATAAAGATCTGCTCTCAGGATGAAAGTAGTACCTACCCGCTTATATCGCTCTTCAAACCGAGCAAGACTCGGACTTTTATATTGACGTTGGGAAAGGCATAACGAGCCCCGCGATAGGATAAGTTTTTCGACGTGGGCTTCCGCGGAGGATCTGCTAGCCCCCTTTGGCTCCTTCTTCGATGTCTCATTTATTTTCGCTCATTTGCGTATAAAGTATCGTGTCCCGTGTATGTGTCTATCCAGGTCACGTGTCTCCCTCGAACGAAAACGTGTTCATGACGTAGAACTTAATCCTCGACTGGTCTGATGAGGCGCAGAGACCGTTTCGAAGCCTACCAGACCAGTTACAGGATAATAAACGCGTGACTTAACCCGCAAGTTCTGCATCTGCGCTCCGATTGTGAGATGCAAGTTGTTATTGAGAATATAAACAAGCAATGGTCTTTCATACTGTCGCCATTGAATTTCCATCATTGCTTTGTCATTATTGCTTTGTTAATTTACACTTTTTGCATATATCGCCTATAAAAATATTTTCTACAGAATATAAGAGAGTAATTCAATGATAGTTGTATGTCGGGATGACTTTACATATAATTTTTCTCACTTTAATTTGTTATAGTTATGGCATGGATCTAAATGGCGCGAGACGAAAAAACGCGACACGGGAAACAACGAGCACGCTGAAAGCGTGGTTAAACGAACACAAGAAGAATCCATATCCCACGAAAGGCGAAAAGATCATGCTGGCTATTATTACCAAGATGACACTGACACAAGTGTCGACGTGGTTTGCGAATGCGCGGAGACGCTTAAAAAAAGAAAATAAAATGACGTGGGAACCAAGAAATCGTGTCGAAGACGAAGATAACAATAACGAAGACGATGATAGCGGGAGGAAAAGCGTCGATGAGAAAGATCGACTAGGTGAGTCTCTTGAATAATATATGTATTTCTTAGATTTAATCACATTACTTATCATGCCGACCAACAATATTAGTACTATGATTATCGTATTCCTGAAGATTCTTCTGTTTAAATTGTTAAATAAATCAGTTTTTTTTTAAATTGAAAATTTAAATCGGAGCTGTATTATTCCGATTTACGACGCTCGATTTTTTCTTCTTGGTTCAGATTCGAAAGACTCAGGTACAGGTTCCAGCGAGGACGGCGAACGACCGGCACACCGTTTGGACCTACTGCATGGCGGCAGTGGTGGATCGGCGGGCGTCCAAGGTAGAACCGAGAGCGAGTGGAGCGAGTCGCGAGCGGACAGTGGCCCGGATAGTCCGGAATGTCTGTACGATCAGAGGGAACCGAGGCATCCGCTGCAACTGCAGCATCCGGCGTATCTCACCCAGAATCACGGTCGATTGTTGCGTCATCCCTCACCGGAGAGCACGTCGCCAGGTAGTCAACATCATCTTCCGCCGAGCACCAGCGCGCCGTCCACGGGTAGCGCGGTGACGACGAAGCCGCGGATCTGGTCGCTGGCAGACATGGCGAGCAAGGACGGCGATCAGCAGAGTACGAATCCAGCCACGATGACGGGTCTGACGTCACCTTACAGCGGAACGGGCGGAGGTGGAGGTGGCATCGGCGGTGGCGGTGGAGGTGGCACTGCAGGGGGCAAGCTCGTAAGCCCTTTGGCTAGTCGACTACCGCCTCATCATCCCCTCCATCCGATACATCCGGGCACGCAGTTTGTAAGACCGCATCCGGACTTCTACAGGAATTTGTATGGCGCGTCCCATCTCGGCTCCGGTGACATATCTCTGCTGGAAACGTATTCGAGGACTCTTGGTGGACTTGGCGGCGTAATACCACCATCCACGGCCCCGAGCATACTTACGTCCTCGTCCTCGTCGATTTCCGTCGCCGGTAACGTGAAACCTTTTTCGATTAACGGTGGTAGCGGCGCGGCTGGCGGTACCACAGCCGGATCGGCAGTTTTATTGACCACCGCATCCTCCGGTCTATCGCCGTCATCGTCGTCGACGGCGTCGTCGGGCGGGTCCGATCAGTCGCCCCATCCGGCGGGCGGCGGTCTCCCCGCGACTCAGGAACTCAAATCTCCCGGACGGGTGTGACTCGACGAAGCGACCGATCGCTAGAGAGACGTTTATCGCGGGCGCGCGCTGTGCATCGGCGGGCGTTTTGTGTGGTGTGGCTGACAATAATCAGAGACTACAATCTTGTAATTAGTGTACAGTATAAAACGGAAGATGATGAGATATACTGCCCCAATCCGCTTCCTCGTTTCCTAGTCTTTTCATTTTTCTTTTCTCTTGTTCAATGTCATCATCGATGTTCTTTTTATCTTTGATTCCCTTCCCTTCTCTCCTTCGACTTTTTTTTATCCAAGTTTTATTTTCCGTACCTAATTACTCTCGATAAAGAGGGAAAAACTCGTAGTACCGACTACCCATAGTGGCTCTATCGCGGTATAACCGTACAACATCTAGCGCGTCAACTCGACAGTACTATTACACACATATAAATATTATAAATATCTAAAGATATACGATAATATAATTAATATTATTTATGCGTTTGTAAATAGTAGAGAAAGGCCTAGTAGAGGAATCGTCCGGCCAGTGTATGTATTGTATGTAGAGTAGACACTATATTACTAGACTACCTGAGATCATAATTCATATTAATGACGATTATTATTATTATGATTATTATGATTATTATTATGATTGTTATTGCAATGTTTATAATATTATCGATTCACGTCGACTCGGTCGAGCATGACGAGGTATGGGTCGTTAATCGCGGCGACAGATTGCGAGAGATCGCCGGAGTGTATAAAGATTCTTGGAGGCCAGTCCTTGGTTCCTCTTCTTGTAAGTATCTCCTCTCTTATTTATTTTGCTAAAAATTATTGGCTCGTGATAATTTTTCGCAAGAACGCGGATAAAGGCTGCCAAATCGCGAATCGATGCGCAAGTATGACGTCGCTCGCAATCTGCTGCGAACACAATTTCCGTCGCGTCCCGTCGTCGTTGCGTAGAAAAGGAACGTTCTAAGTTACACGAAGGTGAAGCCACGGGCACAACGGCTGTCAACATATCATGTCATGTCGAGAGTGAACGATCGCCATCACCTTTTAGTCATTCGTGTCCAAAATTTCACGCGAACTCGCTGATGCCACACTGACATGTGACATCAATGCAGACTGTGTCCTTTCGCAATAAACGAATCATTACGGAAAGCAAATGAGTTATCATTTCTAACCTATGACTTTCCGCCAACCGCATCATCAAATATTTATATATGCATACCAAGTTTTTTATATATTATTTCCTCTTTACATAAGTTTCTAAAAAATTTATTTTTTCATATAGAATTATCATCTTCGATTAGATTGCTAATTGGAGACACTCCATATATGTATTGAATTTATCGAACGACTTGATAATTGAATGCAATTCAATATTCTTGGGCATACGCCGCTTTTCCGAGTCGGGTAACATGTTGATTATTATGCCATTCGAGTCGAGGGCCTAATCGTGCATCGTGTGCAATTCAGTAGAGACAATACATACATGAGGAGGCTTCTAGTCGACGCAGGGGACCATCCTTTTAGAACGGTGAATGAATATGAAACGTTCTCATTCTCGGAACCGGGACGGCCGGGATGTACTTATAAAAATGCAAAGCGACCGACTTCTGGGTGGTTGCTGGACAAGCCTGGTTATTAGTAAACATTTAAATCGACAATTCCTATAGCTAAGCGGGGAACGTCGTTTTCGTCCTGTCCTCTACCTTCTTCCTCTCTTTCTCCACCTTTCTCCGGCGTTCTTCTTCCCTCTCGCTCCTTCCACAGAGTTAGAGAAGAGAAGGACGATGAGGGCTACCGCATTCGCGGTTTACGGTAGAGGAAACAAGAAATCAACTCGCGGGACCACCCGCTATGGCCTGGGGTGCACCAAGCCGTAGATCCCAAGGAGGTCCATGCCGTCTTCATGAATCAACTCGTTTCTGAATCGGCATAAACCTTCAAAGAGTTGCGGAGCGCTCCTCCCCGTCCGCCAGATTCAGAGTTATGTGACTATCGATGTTCTTTCGTATTCTCGGCTTCTTCAGCTGGTGGTCCATATACGAACGCACGGTGTTCTCAAAAATGTACTGAAGATCGGGACCGAAGAAAAATTGTTATAAATGATATAAATACATGACTGTCGGAAGAATATTTGATATTAAATTACGATCGAGATAAATAAATAAGTGCCGATTCTTTTATTTGATATAATTTCTCACGAAGTAATAAATTAATGAAATCTTAAAAAAAAGTATTATTTTTATTCAAATAAATGAGGAGATGTAAATGCATAATTAGCTAACTATCCCGATAATGAAAAGTTTTATGTTTTAGAATTGGCAAGCTATGTCGTAGCGCGTCATGAATGCCCTAAATGGTGTTTAAATCGTGTGATAAAACCGTTTTATGTTACTATAAAGATATCTGGGTAAAAATGTCGATGCGTGAGAGGAGAAGGTAACATTATATAGGTAGCTAGTACCCGTTGCAGATAAACCGAGCCATTATTACTCAGTACAACGGTTTCAATTCTAAGATGATCACGCTACTAAGGGAGACATAACTATCTGCTGTCTGGATGATGTATCTTATAATGGCGCGCAGACGAACGATAATCGGCTACTTTATTCCACAAATGCATACGGATGTTATATGGTCACTTTTAGTGTTATAGTGTTTCCACAATGCAATAACGAGAAAATGACGATCTTTTTCATTCGTCCGTCCGTTCTCCCCTTAGTTATAACACGAGAACCTTCAATGCTCAAGAAACACTGGAATATTGCCCATTTACATGGACTATGACGTACTGCAGCTGTTAAATTTTATTTCGATATTTTATCAATTTCCGTGAAAATTTATTGCAGTAAAAATGAGCGATAGAATGAAATCGCTAAAAGAAACGTTTGAATTTTTATGCAATTGTATACTTGTAAAATAAGTAGCTCGCAATCGCAATATACATTCACGGTTATGCTTTAATCGTGATATGGGTAATTCGCAATCCATCCGCGTTCTTTCAGGCATCACTTTTCCATTTGCCATTTGCGCGTGTAATTTCGCGAATGAAGCTTTATAACATTTACAACTTTTCCCGCGTGTAACTTCACCGTTGCGCCGTCACGGTTAATAAAAATTAACAGTAGTTTGCCATGTACAGCCGGCTTACAATGCTTAGGTGGCCGCGCGATTTTTCATATCTGAGAATCGTCGTTATATACAACGACATTGCCGGTCATGACATGAATTCTTGCGAAGGACGCGGTAAATATCGCAAATGGATACAGGTGCCTGCCGCGGTTACTTGCGAGGACTACCTAGAGGGGGCAGGCGATAAACTCAACTAAACTGCGTTCTGCGGCGATGCTTTATTGGCTTTTATCGAGTTTTAAGTAGCGAATTTCTTCATGGAAACGCCATTAATTTTACGATGTGGGCATATTTAGCCCACGGCTTCTCGTAAAATCATACTTTGGTCCCGATAAAGTTAAAACATTGGTGGGGCTCTCTGCTAGAGCAAAGTTGGCGTTGTAAAAATGCGATAGAGGGGAAAGATTAAGTAGTTAGTGATGTTATATATGTATATATAACACTACTATATAACATGTGTGATTACATATTATATATATTGTTATAATATATTATTTTTAATAAATGTAGACATGATAAAAAAAATATTTCCAGAAAAGCCTCGGTATGGCATATATATATATATATATATATATATACACAAGTATATATGTATATAAATACACATATAAAGGCACATGTATTTAATTAGTTGCAAAAATCTCAATAATTAAACGCAAGAGACAATACATATATGTGTAAATATTCAATTAACTGTGCACACGCTCGTGACGCATCCCTATTACATTTTATAAATAAAACTTCACTATATTGCAATATACCTATATATACAGGGTGTTTCCAAATTAAATGGCAAAACTTCGGGAGCGTGTAGAGGAGTAAAAAACTAAGAAAAAAAGTCCTATAGACATATGCTCCTTTTTGCTTTGTTTCGCAGGAAATCACGAAAAAAGAAAAAAATATATTTAATTTATTATTTTAATTATTTTATTTATAAACTTTTTAATGAAGATTTTGTTCGAAATGTGCACCTCTTGCAGCAATACAAGCATTGCATCTGTCAAACACGGCTCTTGTAGCAGCCAGGCACTGTTCTTGCGATATTCTGTTCGCTGCAGCTACGATACGATTTCTCAAATGTTGCTCTGATTGAATAGGCGAAGAATAAACTTCTTGCTTCAGAGTACCCCATGCATAGAAATCTAATGGCGTTAAGTCGGGCGAACGAGTTGCCCAATGTACTGCTCCTCCACGTCCAATCCATCGTTGTGGGAATTTTCTATCTAACCAGGTTCTAGCGACTCTGCTGTAATGAGCAGGGCATCCATCTAATTGAAACCACATTTCAGTACGTTGTTGTAATGGGATGTTTTCTAAATAGTCAGAAAATTCATTCTCCAAGAAATTTAGAAAACGGTCCCCATTTAATCTTGCAGGTAAAAAAAACATTTTTTTTCGATTTCTCTGAAACGGAGCAAAAACGAGCATATGTCTATAGGACTTTTTTTCTTAGTTTTTTACTCCTCTACACGCTCCCGAAGTTTTGCGATTTAATTTGGAAACACCCTGTATATATACTATATATATTCGTGTGCACATGCAATCATTATATAAATTCATTACATAAATTCATCATTATTAATGAAATCTTTTTAATGACCATCGCATATGCGAATAATCCGCAATATACATCATAAATTTTATTTAATAAGAAATAATATTTTCCACAAAGATCATTTTTTTATATCGAATAATACGATAATAAATAAAGGGAGTTGCATTTAACCAGACAATCTGTAAAACAGATATGTGACACGTTCTTTTTTTGGCGCACCGTCACGCAAGTGCGTTCTGCGTTGTCGAAAGGTAGCATATCAGTGTAGGTGGTGAATAATGAATGGCAAAGTCGAGACAACTTGCTGGACCAGCGTCGACGACGTGGATCAGGTCGGCGGTGTATATACGACCGGGGTTAGGAGGCGCAGTTACAGCACGAGTTCCGGGTGAAACGACATGAAAAATTAACGGGCCCGCGTTTTGACATTGCGTCAAACTTTCGTTGTACAGCGTGATAGATTGTTCTACGGATGGTAGATTAATCCGTACGACCGCCTGCAGTAAGAGGAGAGAAAAAGTGAGAGAGAAAGCAGGTTTGGAGTCGGCGGGCGAAAGATGGTTTTGAATTTCTCGGCTAACGACCGACGAACAAATTCGAATTTTACGAGGGATACTTCACAGACAGTATTGTCGGCTGCCTGTCGAGTTTTACTGAATGGAATCGTGATTCACGTTGGACAAGTATTTTTGTGAGATTTATCATTGCGATAGAAGAATACATATAAAAGTATCTCAGTCAACCAGATTAAAATATAAAATACTTTTTATCTTCCAATATCTACGTTTTTACACATGCAGTATGTCATAATTATAGTAATAGTAATCCAATATCACCAGCTGAATATTAATATCACATATTTAATATCCGTTTCCATCAACATTATAGTTTAACTTTAATCTTGATTAAACTCTATTTTTTCCTAGTTCTAAGAATTTAAAA